TTACAATAATAACAATAATAATAGTGCAGTAGAAAAAATAAATGAATTTCAAACATAACAAAGATGCTATCATATGCATCCTGCAGATTATTTTCGAAGACATTTGATGATAAATAATATACTATTTATCAATGGAAGAAAATTAATTTCAGTTGAGAATAAAGGAATATTATACTTTTTCTTATTTAAAAATTAGTGATTGATGATAAATGCTCAATTCATAAATCTTTAAGCCAGCTCCTGATTAGAGATATTAATGTTAACCATACAAATATTTAGTTAGGCTTCATTCTTGCAAATCTTCAAAACTAATTTTCTTAATTAAACTAATTAAAAAGTGCGGTGTTGTCCATAATAATNGAGGAAAGATTCCATGGTGGAGACATGCATTAAGCATTTCTAAGAGATGGGTAGGAACGATGTTCCAGAGTTGTTTAGCCAATTCTGGTGAGACATCATCGCATCCAGGGGCTTTTTTATTGTTCATGTTGGAAAAAGCGCGATTAGTCTCGTGTATTTGAAAATCTGGGGTGTTCAATGTATTGATTTCACTGTTAACTTGATTCCGTACCCATTGGTGGAAATCTGTGTCCTCCTGTGTATTGTCTTGTAAACAGAATTGACTCATTTTTTCATTGGCAGCTTGGAAAAAGTCCTGCCCAGCAGTTGAGGAGTACAGTATTTGTCGTTTTTTTATTTTCTCAGTACAGTACCGAGTAATAAACCCCCAAGGGCTCTTAGCGGCTGCAGCACAAAATTTTTTCCACGATTTCTGTTTAGCCCTTCTGATTTCCATTTTGTATGTGCGCAGTTGCACTAGGAATTGTTGATGTAATTACAGTAATACCTCGACTTATGCTACCGACTTACGTGAACCCAGAGTTACACGATTTTCAAATCTCGTCGATTCGTTTTTTGTTTGAGCGCCATGCAACACTTGATTACTTACTCCCACACTATTGTTCAGCTTAGATGTTCGGATGTGTCGCGCGGAATTGACACATAGCTACAATTTATTTTGTGTGATTTATTTCTGTGTTTGTTATATCTACAGAGACTTGACTATGTCATCAAAATGAAGTAGAACTAATTCTTCTGCATCAAACAAGAAAAGAAAAACTTTATCTTTGGAATGTAAAGTTAACATTGGGTACGTTCATAAAGTCGAACGAGTTAAACGAGAATGACGTCATCGTTATTCGTTACTAACGCGTTTAACTCGTTTGAGTTTACGAACGTACCTATTATTAAAGACTTCAATACAAAAATGAAAATTTGTGAATTCGCAAAGAAGTTTGATCTACCGGAATTGACGGTCAGAACAATTATAAAAGGCAAAGAAAAAATTCTCGAAGCTGTGAAAAATGCTCAATCTTTAAATTCGAGCATTATTCGTAAATGTCACGGTATTATCGCTGAGATGGAAACAATGTTAAAATTATGACGTGATAATCAAGTAAATGTGAAAAATTGTAAAATAATATAGGCCTAATTTGTTATACATATGTATTATCTAAGATTTTATTAAACATTTTTTTCTAAATTATTGTTTTCTTTAGTCTCTGGCCCCAATTAAAAATTATTTGTATGTATTTATATGTGAAATTATACCCCGACTTACGTGAATTCGACTTACGCTGTTACTGCTCGGTTCCACCTATTGCGTACTGAACTTCCCTATTTTCATGCAAATGCTACAACTTCCCTAGATCTTCTTCAGATCTTATAACTCTAATCATATCACTAGGGGTTGCTGAAGTTGCAAGGCCCATTTTCATTGGACTACCAAACATTGCTTCATATGGGGAACATTTGATTCCCTCGTGATATGCTCTATTTTTCATCACCTGGATAAATCTTAAACCCTCTGACCACTTTGATAAGTGATTGGTTTCCATCCATGTGCTCAACATATTTTCTATGTGTGAGATTCGAATAGCTCCTGGGTCTAATTAACAATTTAAATATAAAGCTAAAATTATGAAGTAAAATATTCTTTCATTTTGGTGTGAAAATATTGTTTTTCTAATGTGGGAAAACTGATAAAAGAGCTACTTCCTTTAACGGAAGTAGACACATCCTTTTGTTTTCCATTTATCTATCACCAATCTCACCACCCTGGGAATTGTCAACCCCTCAATAATTCCCTCTTCCATCTGTTCACGTGAAAGAATACAAATAAGCTGATTGGACACAAATCATGAGATATAGTCAAAGACTTACATGGTTCGGGGAGTACGTCAGAAGATCTCTTAGGGAAAGGAGGTGCCCCATATTTGCTCCCTAAGGCCAACGCCCTTAGTTAGGAGTACGTCAGAAGATCTCATAAAGGAGAGACGTAGTCCATATTTGCTCCATAAGGCCAACGCCCTTAGTCGTATCCAATCGAGTATAATAATGAGTTAATTTATGAGAAAAGAAGAAACTTTTAATATTGTGCCAAATCAAGACCTCACCATGAAACAAAGTATGATCATAGAATACAGATGAACATAAAGACAAAGTAAACTTTTAGGTAGTGTGATTATAAATGAATTTGTGAGCTCTCTCTCTTTAAGCGTATATTTTAATTGAACCCATATTCTCTCTCAATCGCTTGTTTGAATTATCTAATTATATCAATTTTGTATATCCTTGTTTATGGTAGTTTATTAAATTCTTTTATTTTTATGTTAAAGAAATGTCTCATTTTTGTCTGAATCAAATCCATATTATCTCCATACGCGTGTTAATCCGCGTAATGGTAAATTGATTAACTGGTGTCGGGATCCTGACGTAGGAACGAAGAATTATGAAATCCTTCAGTTCCTCTCTAGATATATCCAACTGTAAGTCCCTCCACCCTCGAATTTCCTCAAATTAGGAAAAAGCCATTCTTGTAGAAGACCCGAGAACTAGTTTCAACAACTAGCCGCCAAGTAAGTGATACACGAGTAATGAACTACTCCGTACCTCCGGCTAGAATCTCACATATGTCTTGATTAGCACACTCCACTGATCCTTCACTTTGGCTATGTCTTGCCTTTCCATGTACAATTTTTACATCCAGCCACATGGAGCATAAATTATCAATAACTTGGTTAGAGAATTCTCGACCATTATTGGAATGAAGGATGTTCGGTGCTCCAAAAGTGGTGAAAATATCGAAAAGATGGTATGCAACTTCTTTGGAGTATTTAGTTTGAAGCGCACAAAGGATCACAAATTTGGTAAGATGGTTTTGGTAAACTAAAATGAATTTATAATTTCCATCAGAGGTAGTTTGTAGATCTATTAGATCAACCTGGCAGCATGAGTTCATTTCACTGTGAAGTATAGGTCTGCCAATGCCCTTTTTCAAAGTTTTCTGTTTCTTTTGGCAAGGTTGACATAGCTTCAAATATGTCATAGTGGCCTCAACTGTTACATTTTTATACTTGCGGTTACATTTTTTAAGCATCCGTATCCTTCCACCGTGGCCAACAGCAACATGCATTTCTTCGAGAATCTTAAATAAGTCCTTGTAACAAATGTAATACCTTATTTCTCCATTCTCCTCCATAGACACAATTAGTTTTTCTTCACTGCCTAAGTTAAAATATCAAATGTTTTATACACCTGTAATGAACAGCTAGTTTCTTTTTCATGTTCTTTGCAGCTTTTATTTCCTCCAAACACGTTGCATATTTGCCCCTATTGAGATAAAAGTTATTATCTATTTTGCTTGCAACGATCTTGTCCATTATTTCATAAAATCTCCATTTCACACTCATTTTGATTCATAAATAATTTTTAGACAGTGAAATCTCAAACAGGATTAAAGTTAACATGTTGTTCTAACATGTCAAATGATGGAATGCAGCGAGTGAAGGTGGTGATGTGGGTAGCGGGGACTATTTTTTCAACATTTACCATGTCTCTGAGGTAAAACCTAAGATATACAGAGGAAATGCTGGTAAAAGTTCGAAATTAATGATAATCTCAGATCATTTCGGACTTTTACCACAAAGATTTGGTAAATCTTAGGTTTTACTGGAAGATCTTAGGATTTACCATAGTTCGAGCATTTACAGTAACATATCTACCAAGTAATATGTAATATGAATTTCATCAATGTAATATTATCAAAATGAATTTTATGTAGCATTCATATATTAATGAATAATTTTAAAATTAGTTACAATTATTACATTGCATTTCTAACTTTAATTTTAAAAACTTGACATTTTATTATATACAGGTAAAATTGTAAAGTCATAAACTCTTATTTATAATGAAATAAGTCATATGTAAACATTGCATAACCTGATTCTCGATTAATATTTTAATTGTCTATATCAACTTAATTGTCTATATCTACACAAAATTACTTCATATCTAATTATTAATTGCAAAAATAAGTCAGTAAATTAATCTTTTTTTATATAAATTTTCATTAGTATTAATTGTTTTATTATTTCATAAAGAGCATTCATAAATACAGTAGAACCCCAATTATCTGAGCACCAATTAACCAAGGTTCTGCATTATCTCAGGCAAATCTGTAAGTGAATACACTATTTTTTTTAATACTGTAATTAAAAAAAAACTTTAAAATGATAAAATATGTATTACAAAATGATTTGTTTTTGTTATTTTTTATAATTTAACTTCAATGTGAGACAAACTAATTCATATTAAAATGTAACTACAATAATACACATTTTTATTTTTAAAACTATTGTATATAATGAATTAGCTGTATAACAAATGATGTGAAAATATTGTTCTATATGATTAAATTCACTAAAATACAAACATATACAAAAGTGATACCATATCTTTTATATGGTATCACTAGATCTTTTATATCTCAAATTTTTAATCCAAAATAGCCATGGTTATCCATTTTATCTGTGTTTTTAGTTGTCTGAGATAGCATTGGTCCACATTACCTTGGATAATTGAGGTTCTATGATTATTAGAATAATAATGGTTTTCTAAAGTTAACTAAGTTTATAATGGATTCATTTTTATTACAGGCAGATAATGTTATTGTCAACTATATAGTAAGTGACATAAATCCTTTATCAGTTATGGAAAAACCATCATCTAAAAATTTTATCAAAGAATTTTCAAAAGGATCAAACAGTGTAGTGCCTTCTCAAAAAAATGTGTATTCAAGGTATGTGCTAAGTAAAATGAGTAATAACTTAGTTATTAGATTTATCTTTTGATATCATTATAATCACAATAAAAACATTCTTAATTTATANATTATTTTCAATCTAGAAATTGATAAATCTTTAATTATATTAAAATTTATTTTTAATGCTTCTTATAATATAAATCCTTAATTAAAATTTACCACTACTACTACTACTACTACTGAGTTATTTTTTACTATTTGCAATCAAAAAACGCTTTGGTAAAATAACTAAAAGCACGTACATCACATTGGATAGGCTAAAATTGAATGGTGTAATCAAATTTAAAAATTTACCTATTTTCTAATTAATTGTATTGGACAAAAATTAATTGTAAATTATCAATAAAAGAGTTCTAAATAAGAAACTAATAAATCGATTAACCTATTGAAATTTAGCCATAAAAATTAATTAATTAATAGGGAGGTCATTAACTAAATTTAATTCTTTGGATAAAATAAATTCATTTTTTCATAAGTCATTAATCCTTTTCATTCTTAAATTAATTAACCATACTTTAAATAAGCTTTCTATTACAATAATAACAATAATAATAGTGCAGTAGAAAAAATAAATGAATTTCAAACATAACAAAGATGCTATCATATGCATCCTGCAGATTATTTTCGAAGACATTTGATGATAAATAATATACTATTTATCAATGGAAGAAAATTAATTTCAGTTGAGAATAAAGGAATATTATACTTTTTCTTATTTAAAAATTAGTGATTGATGATAAATGCTCAATTCATAAATCTTTAAGCCAGCTCCTGATTANAATTCATTTTTTCATAAGTCATTAATCCTTTTCATTCTTAAATTAATTAACCATACTTTAAATAAGCTTTCTATTACAATAATAACAATAATAATAGTGCAGTAGAAAAAATAAATGAATTTCAAACATAACAAAGATGCTATCATATGCATCCTGCAGATTATTTTCGAAGACATTTGATGATAAATAATATACTATTTATCAATGGAAGAAAATTAATTTCAGTTGAGAATAAAGGAATATTATACTTTTTCTTATTTAAAAATTAGTGATTGATGATAAATGCTCAATTCATAAATCTTTAAGCCAGCTCCTGATTAGAGATATTAATGTTAACCATACAAATATTTAGTTAGGCTTCATTCTTGCAAATCTTCAAAACTAATTTTCTTAATTAAACTAATTAAAAAGTGCGGTGTTGTCCATAATAATATTTGTATTAAAAAAAGAATAACCCAGCCTGAAATTCCAGAGACTGAGTTGGATTTGTATTTATTAAAAAAAATTACATGTTATAATTCAAAATATTCAAATATTTCTAGTAAATAGCAAGCTTAAAGAAAGTTATGAATTTTAAAGTATTTTTCTTAATGTTTTATTTAGAAAATTACTAATTCAAATCTAGAATATATCTGTTACTGTGAAAACCCATATATTGGTAAATCCTAGGTTTTACTTGTAAATCTTCAGATTTACTAACATGAGTTGGTAAATGTAAGGATTTTTATAAACTGAGATGATTTACAGTGCTTTTACCATTAGAATTTGGTACATGCTAGGTTTTACTAAAGATGGTTAGTAAAGGTTGGTTTTGGAAATAAAACTATGAGTATTTTAATAATCATTTATTACAATTATAAACAGTCAACTTACTAAGTCCTATTCATTAATAACTAGTGAAACAGTTTAAAAATACTTTTTTAATGTAACAAAAATTAAATTATCTTGTCAAAAATAATATAATAGCCTACATTGGCTAAGCTAATCAGTAATCACAGTATTTTTTTCTAATCATTTGGTATTCATTGTCATTTAATAAAAGTAAAAAAGGATTTTACTTGTTACAGCATGGAGAGATACCATGGCATTTAAAATTACAAAGTAATCCTGATGACTTGCAAGTGCACTTCTTTGTTACGCATTTTTTTAGGCAGTTGCATTTCTTGAAACCTTGTCCTCTGGTCAAAGACAATTTTTGCGACTTCTCAAAGACACTTCTTTATCTTTAACTTCTTCTATTTTGATAAAGTCTTCAGGACATAAGGTAAATTGATTTTGTGTATAAAGCTGCTTTAGTACTCCAATTTTGGTAACTAGTTGATAAAACTTATTGTCCTTTACATCTACTACAACTGCAATAACACTTTTCAGGTCAGTTTTAGCTTTGTCAATTTCAGACACTTTCAGTCTTACATTTTGGCCAATTTTCACATTTGGATATTTATCAACAGACCTGGCTTTTATTTTTTCAGCTTGTTTCTCCAAACTCTCCAAATTTTGCATTGTTTCTTAATAGTCATTACAGATTCTATTTTTTTTTTTTTTTTGGTATTGGCTCTATAGTTACAAGAACTTCCTGAGACTCAATCATGTATTCTGTCTCTGAATCAGTATCTCTCTTCTTCGCCTTCATCTTCTCAGTAATAATCATTTCATCTTCTTATGTTTTATCGTTGATAGTGCTATTGTCTATATCTTCTTCTGACTCATTTTCAACAATACTTTCTTCCTTGTCTTGTTCGATTGCATTTTTGATGTAATTACAGTTCAGTTCAGTTCAGTTCAGTTCAGTTATTTATTAAAATAAAAATATACGTAGTACATCCCGGTGCCGTGAAACATAACCGGGTGGGATCAGAAAAAGGTTGAAAATACAATGTAATGAGGAATACAATAAAATAAACAATTGGAATATACAAGAGGCATACCACAGTTCGAGGCATGCAAAGGTGCTACCTGCACCTGAACAAGAAAACGCGTATGTACAAATTTAGGATTGGATTACAAAATAAAGAAGAGATGTCCATCAGTAGAAAGGGACTGTGGTTCTTCTGAAGTACATGTCAGTTAGGTGAATGAAGGCATCGTATGAGTCCTTATGCTCAAAAATGCAGTCCAGATTTTGAGGAGGCCAGTTCACATCGTGTGCCTCCAGGATAATCTTGAGAGAAAATCTTTCCAATTCCATCATTGGACAGTCTATTATGTAGTGCAAATTTCCATCCGGTGTACCACAGACAGTACAATTAGGGTCGTGAGGGTATTTGAATCTACTCAAGTAAGAGTGAAAAGCACCATGGTTGGATAGCATCTGAGTAAGTTTATGGCTGGGTGAATACCATTTATTTTTTAAAAATTCCTTAATATTATTAATAAGTTTTGAAGTTATGGTTGTGTAACTATTCCAATCCATCTGCCATTCCATTAAAAGATTCTGCCAGAGCAGACTTTTGACTGTTTTATTATTCAGTTTATTATATGAATAAGGAAGGTCTTGATTGGTAGAGGCCTCCTTGGCAAGAGAATCTGCCCTCTCGTTGCCAAGTGTGCCCATGTGCGCCCTTGTCCAGTTTAAATAAAATTCACAATTTGAAGTGTTGATTGCATCCTGAATAGCAACTGCAATGGGGTTATAGGTTTTGGTCTTTAGAAGGGCCAGTGTAGAAGCACTGTCAGAGATGATATTTATGCTTTCATTATTGTAATGACAATTAACCCAGTCAACTGCTTTACTTATGGCAAAGAGCTCTGCCTGAAAAACTGTACAGTTGCTGCCAAGTCGGAATTGGCCTATGTCAATTTCTTGTTCGTCACCATAAGCAACAAAGCTGCACCCCACATTTCCATCTGCCTTT